GTTATGGTTTTATATATTTGTCTTTGACCATAACACTACAGATTCGTAATGCAGAAAAGGTGCAATTTACGGAGCAATTTTTTGCACAAGTTTGGGGAGAATTTCTTTACTTTCCAGAATTGGTCAATTAACTACCTTTCACTCCCTAATTCTAGACACATTTAACTCTGGGTAATCTGTATATTTTATCTACCTACCTATCCTCTATAGTTGTCTCTACAAGTGATTAACTCCCTTGATGAAAATTGTATGTTAGATTGTTGAAAATTCACTTCATGCGAGTTTATTTACTGTAAAGACAACTATAAATGGTTAGAAGATGGATAAAATATACATATTGGCTACAGAATATGTGTCTGAATTAGGGAGTGAAATTTGAAAGGTAGTTTATTGACCAATGTTAGAAAATGGTGCCCTTTGTTAATCACTTCTTTATTCCCCACAACATTTTATTTTTAAAACTTAATACAAATTAGGAGAACTTCAGGTTAAGGTTATAGTGTGGGATAAGTGTGAAAGTCTCTGATTTTATCATTTACTTTAACCATAACTGGAAGTTTTTGTATCCAGTCTAACGTCTTAATATTTATAAAAAATATATATATATTAATAATAAGATTAAAATCATACTATAATTCTTTGTTTTTGTCTATTCTGGGTTTCAGACAATGCTTTTCTTATCAGTGGCTAAAAGTTTTTTTTATTTCATTTGAACATGTTAAACAGCTTTTATGCAGAAAAAATTAGTCATAAACATGATAAAGAATATGTTTTGAACAAGAAACTGCATTGTTGCAGACATATTTTTTACATTAATAAGTGCCGTCCAATTTTTCAGGGAGCAGACTCAAAGAGGGAAGAGTTTAGGAGATACCTAGAGAAAGCTGGTGTTCTAGATGCACTCACAAAAGGTAACAATTGAATATTGCTAAATACAAAGTGTTGTTTTTTTAAAATTGGGGTGAAGGGGTGGATAAAGTGCTCTTGTGTCTTGTCACATTTTGATGAAGAAAATTATTGTTATGTATGCTAAACATTTTTTTTTTTTCTATTTCAGTGTTGGTGGGATTGTATGAAGAACCAGAAAAACCAAACAATGCATTAGAGTATCCTTTTTTCAGTCAGCCAGGAAGGTTACACGATCAGAATATTACACAAACTTTTTTATTTGGAACAAAAACGTAATGTAGAATCACATATTTTGGTGGGGTCAGTTATACATGGTATGAGGGAGTAGTACTTAATAGTATGATCTGTAAACCAAATTACAGTTCATCTTAGACATAAATTCATAGGTCTCTTCATAACTCAAAAACTACGAAAAATTATTGACCCTCGAAGATTTAATGATTTCACTGTACACCCATAAAAATAGAAAATTTGATATTTGATTTATCAAGTTAAGAAAGTCTCCGTGTGAACTGCACAAATTGGATAAAATTTGTAATTAAGAATGTCCTCTTGTTAAGATTCTTTAACTTACCCAAGCTTCTTGAAGCAGCACTTAGGGGCCTCAGGACCTGAGACCGCTGATGTAGAAGCCCTTAAATTAGAGGTGACAGAACTCCGACAGAAAGTGGAACAGCTGACAGAAGAAAACCAGGAAATGAAGGCAAAGGTAACATCTACATCTCTGACTTGTATATATCTTAGTGTTAATTTTTTGATTGGCACCTTCATGCTTTTTTTTCAAAATACTCTTCTAGTGGAGACAGTTTCTCATACATGCATTATGTTTGTTCTTATGGTTATAACATTAGAGTCTCAAAGAAATACAACAATTTCATGTACCAGTACATGATGAAATGAATTCCTGGAAACTTTCTTTTAAGTTTAATATCAAGACAAGATGAATGCCAAAAACATTTCTTTTCAACTGCCATTTCTTATTATGTAAATTCTCCTTCAGTCAACCTTTTTTGTGTGAATTAATCAAATGCTCTCTTTATAATCTGTATAAATTTGGATGTCTGTGAGGAAAGAAGTTACTGCCTTATTTATTTATCTACATTCCTTTCTCTTTTTTTATTTCAGTTACAACAATTTGAAGAGGAACCACAAACTTCTTAGATGCTTGCATTTAACTTCATATATACACCATGTACATTCTATTCATCAAGTCTGGCTTGTTCAGTAAATGATTAACAACTATTTTTGGGACCATTTTTTGCCTTGATCTGAACTTTATGATAAAAATTAACTTGTACTGACTGTACATCATGATTAATCATGATTGTCTGAACAAATATTCAGTATAGGCAAATAAAGATATGTTTGCTTTATATAATTGAAGTCTTAATAGCTGTGGTAAAAAAAACAAAAAATAAACAAAAAATAAAATTTGAGAAATAATGATGTAACAATAATTCTTGTACATATTCCTTATTATGTGAGTTACATGATAGTGGTATGCTCACTGAGTGAGAGGTTTTTTACAGTGTTCGGTTTCCTTTTAATCATTTATAGAGCAAATCTTTGACTGTTACATGTTAGTTTCGAACGTTTACAAAACTGTTTACAAGTCATTTTAAATTAAAAATGCTCACTTAAAACTTGAGTTGGATTTTTTGCAAATAGATGCATATAATTTCTTCAAATTATAAATTTTATGTGTACCCAGTATATGAAAGTGCATGATGTATGGCTTTGTGGCTTTTGGATAACCCTTTCACCATATCAATAGAGCACAGCCACTGCAGTGTACTTGACTGGTGTACATGACAAGTCATTGTTTCAAGCATAAATAACCAGTTACATATATTTAAGCAAAAATTTTAAGATAAGTGTTGCACACTTTTTATCAGAATGAGAATGATTCATTGTTTGGTGACAACTGTTCAATCGGGGCAATTTTGCTTCTGGAATCTTCCCTCCCTTAAAATGATTCAAGAAATATTGTACTGTTGAACATGTAAACTGGTATAGAATGATGTGGAATAAGACCAAAGAAGATTTAACAAAAGAACATTCCAATACTTGGGGTGGGGAAGTAGCATTTTAAAATGGGAAAATTAAGGAATTTGTGTAATTCTGTTTTTAAGTATTAGGCCCTCCTGTTTTGCTAAACATTGCATGAGAAGGATTTTCTTACAAAAAAAAACCAAACACCAAAAGCTAGATCAGTAGTTGTCTTAAATGAATATTACAATGATCAAAGCATACAATTTACATTAATTTAGAGGACTCGGTTGCTGAGTAATTTACTACAGTACATGTACTATATAAAAACAAAATAATCTGCCCCTTTCCAAGGCCAGTCCAAGGATCTTTCCGAGATTAATGTAGACACAGGAGTTTGCATACCTATCAATTTTACCAAATTTTTCAGCATTTTAAAAATACATTGTAATACCTAAAATTATATGTATTATTACATATTTTTTAAATATACTGAAAAATTCAGTAAAATTTATAGGTATGCAAACCCCTGTGCCCTTCAGTGACTTTGACGATATTTGCAACAGGAAAGACCTATTTGATAAGCCATTTGGCTAAAGTGACTTTCAGTTTAGCCAAGACAGTAAAAGATAAATATATTAAAGGAATTACTATTTAACAAATTTCAGGCAAAGAAATACACACGTCCATTGATGTGACTCTTAAGCAAAAACCATGTCTGTCTAATTTAAAGTGGACAAACATTGATGTTACTATATGTGTAGTTTGAAAAGGAACATTTGTTCCATCATCCTTTAAAAATTAAAGGGATTTTTAAATTCATGAAGAGAAGAATATTTTCCAAAATCCACATTAAACCATCTTCGCTAGCCAAGGGTTTCTGATACGCTCCTCTCTTCATAAACCCTTGGCCTATGGTGTTCATATAATAGGGATTTTTTCCCGAGTTTTGTTTGGATTTCAGTACACCCAGGTCGACCAATCAGCAATTGTTTTTTGTAAATGACGATATTTGCGTTCGGAATACATCTTCACTCTTTAATCTCTGAAATGAAAAACGCAAGTAAACAATGATCCGTAAGATAACATTATATTCTATGAATAGCCATAGTGTCATCCAATATCTTCTAAATATGTGATTAAGAATCTATATTTTAGCTTCAGATTTGTTCTAGAAATAATGAATAAACATAACTCAATTATTGCTTCTTAATTATTCTTGAAAAAACTTTGATTTAATTTTTTTTAACATGTGTCTTTATTTCTGGTGATGACGCAATCTGTGCGTACCTGATAGATTCAAGATCACGTGACAGAAAACAATCCCGTCTTTTGACTTCACCGTATGCCAAGGGTTTATGAGGAGAGTAGCGTATCAGAAACCCTTGGCTAGCGAAGATGACATTAAACCTGAATCTCACAAACAAGAAAATTTGGAGTAAGAACTTTTTATTCCTACAACTTTGAATATTGATACAAAAACAATATCAGAACTTATTAATTATTGTTAATTAGTCAATGAATCATGATGAGGAAAAAATGGCGGGCAGTGATTATGTCAGGATGTCCTTGGCCTTGACTTCTAATAGTTGTTCCATTCCTTTAACGTCCTCTGTCCATTGTTCCAGGCGCTTCTGCATTGTAGCAATCTACAAGCATTATAAGAATACTTTAGGTTTATCATATTCATAATATGCAGAGTGGCTGAAAGGTCAGGATCAAAATACCAGAACTTTTTATGTACATATGTTTATGGTTTAATTACTGCCATCAAAATTTTTGTGGTTTTTAAATGATAGTAATCATGTTCTGAGGGATTTTTTTTATTCATGAAACTGCGGGAAAACTCCTCCAGCATTCTTCCTCTTTTGCATTATATAGAATATTAATAATTTCTCAGTCTGGCTTCAAGAAGTAGCTGCATAACTGAAGCTCTATGCTTGAGAAAATTTGGGCAGATAAAGCAGAGAGCTATTAAAAACCTTTGATATATGATGCCACTTTTTTGTCGCTCATTTTTGGTATAATTTTTTTGCATGTTCAGCTTTCCTCCACTTTAGGAATAATATCAAATGATTACACATGTATTTCACAACTATTCTGGATACCTTTTTTAACCATTCACAGTCCCCAACAGCCCTTTATGTTATTGGAATGTTGGTTTACAAAATTTCCATTCAGATGTCGATGTTGGACATGGTGCGTAAAAATATCTTTCAATGACCATACGCTTGCTCAAAAAATAAATAGTAAACTGTAGGATATCATATCCTTTAAAGCAGGAAAAGCATAGAATACAATAAAAAATACCCCAAATGAGAGATCAAAAAACAGCAGCATAAATTTAAGGTTTTTACAACACTTGGATCTGTAGTTCACAGCTTTATCTGTCCAAATTTTCTCAAGCAGAGAGCTGCAGCTATACAAAACCAGAAGTCTCTGTCGAGACTGTAGCTCTACTGGTTTGTACTTATCAAAAACCATTGCACTATTTTATGTATCTTTGTGTAGTCTACATGTGTGCCAACTTATTTTGAAATCAAACTAAAACTGTAGAAGGAGTAGCATTTTAAAGGAATTTCACAGAAAATTCTATTTTTAGTAACTATGGTAACACCGTTCATCGAAATCAAAAACTGACGCACTATTCTATGTATCTAAGTGTAGTCTACTTGTGTGCCAATTTATATTGAAATCTGACCAAAATTGTAGAAGGAGTAGCGTTTTAAAGGAATTTCACAGAAAATTCTATTTTTAGTAACCATGGCAACACCGTTCATCGAAATCAAAAACCGATAAACTATTCTATGTATGTTAGTGTAGTCTACTTGTGTGCCAAGTTATATTGAAATCAGACCAAAATTGAGGAAGGAGTAGTGTTTTAAAGGAATTTCACAGAAAATTCTATTTTTAGTAACCATGGCAACACCCTTCATCGAAATTAAAAACGGATGCAATATTCTATGTATCTAAGTGTAGTCTACTTGTGTGCCAAGTTATACTGAAATCAGACCAACACTGTAGAAGGAGTAGTGTTTTAAAAGAATTTCACAGAGAATTCTATTTTTAGTAACCATGGCAACACCGTTCACTGAAATCAAACATAGGTAATCAGAGATTACAGAGCTCACCTCAACGTGTGTTGTCTTTAAGTAAGGCAAATTAAGTCACACAATTAACCAACAAAAAGTGTACATCCAAAAATGCAAAATTTATGCAATTTTGATACTTTGTAATAGACCTATATAAAAACTTAAAACTAGTTCTTCATCATGAAAATGTAATTAAAATCCAGCATCTGAAGCAAGATTGAGAGTTTTCATCCCTTGATGCATCATTTGTGCAACTGGTTTATATAAGCCTTATAGTTTCTTTGTGATAGATTTCCACCCATAACTTATCTGGAAAATGTATGTCAAATTCAGCATCTGAAGCAAGTCCATTAGTGTGCATCCTAAGATGTATCATCCATGCAAGTTTGGTCAACATAGGGCTTAAAGTTACTTGCAAATGAAACCTGTATAAAAAATTAACCTTTCCTCTAATCCAGAAAATGTAGGTCAGATTCAGCATCCCAAGCCAGCCTAGTAGAATGCATCCTAAGATGTACCATCCATGCAAGTTTGGTCATTATAGGGCTCAAAGTTACTTGGAAATGAATCCTGCACCATAAACTTTAACATGTTTACTCGTCCAGAAAATGTAGGTCAGATTCAGCATCCGAAGCAAGTCTAGTAGAATACATCCTAAGATGTACCATCCATGCAAGTTTGGTCATTATAGGGCTCAAAGTATCTTCGATATGAAACCTTCACCAAAAACTTTAACCTGTTCACTCAACCGGAAAATGTAGGTCAGATTCAGCATCCGAAGCAAGGCTGAAAGTATGCATCCTAAGATGTATCATCAATGTAAGTTTGGTCATTATATGTCTCATAGTAACTTGGAAATGAAACCTGCACCAAAAATTTAAACCTGTCCACTCAACCAGAAAATGTAGGTCAGATTCAGCATCCGAAGCAAGTCTAAAAAATACATCCTAAGATGTACCATCCATGCAAGTTTGGTCATTATAGGGCTCAAAGTATCTTCGATATGAAACCTTCACCAAAAACTTTAACCTGTTCACTCAACCGGAAAATGTAGGTCAGATTCAGCATCCCAAGCAAGGCTGGTAGTATGCATCCTAAGATGTATAGATTCAGCATCCCAAGCAAGGCTGGTAGTATGCATCCTAAGATGTATCATCAATGTAAGTTTGGTCAACATAGGGCTTATAGTTACTCGGAAATGAAACCTGCACCAAAAACTTTAACCTGTTCACTCAACCGGAAAATGTACCGGTAGGTCAGATTCAGCATCCGAAGCAAGTCTAGTAGAATACATCCTAAGATGTACCATCCATGCAAGTTTGGTCATTATAGGGCTCAAAGTATCTTCGATATGAAACCTTCACCAAAAACTTTAACCTGTTCACTCAACCGGAAAATGTAGGTCAGATTCAGCACGAAGCAAGGCTGGTAGTATGCATCCTAAGACGTATCATCCATGTAAGTTTGGTCAACATAGGGCTTATAGTTATGGAAATGAGACCTACACCAAAAACTGCACCAAAAATGTTAACCTGGACCAAAAACATTAACCTGGTCATTCC